CTTCGATGAAAGTGCAGTGGAGAGGTCGGCCCGTGGAGGAGGCTACCTGGGAGACCGAGCGGGAGCTGCGGAGCAGATACCCTCTACCTATTTGAGGATGGGATTTGTTGTTCCTGCATTCAATTTGGGGAGTGTTTAAGATACTGTAGATAAAAGACTCATTCGAAAAGCATGTTATCTTCAGTGTCCTTTAGTTTTGGCGGTATCATTCAAGGTTACTTGGTTTGGTATTAATCTCATGTTAGAGCTAGTTGTAAAGAGGCTAATGTTAAAAGATGACGATGTGTTCTGTTGAAAGATACTGTGAGATATCTTCCTTGCCATGAACATTGTGTATTGTACGAGTGTTTGAAATGAATCTTTTACTTTATAGTTTCAAGGACTGCTTTTAAAAGAGAATTCAGAGTCATGGTGTGGGGTTTTTCTTTTCAGATTTCTTAAAACGTTGTCAATTGTTTGTTTAAATATTTTTGGATTGGATTAATGAATGAAATCGGGCTTAGGCGTTTGTTCTACTAGGGAGTCCAAATATTTGTGTACTTGGTTCTCATGACTTTGAGGAATGTTTGTGTACACGTTTTGGTGCTGGTCTACAAAACAGCATTTGATTCTAATTTAAAGCAATGAGCATGACTATAATTTGGTGCTAGATTTGGCAATTGGGCCTTTAATATTGGCCCAACGTCTTCTTCGCGTCCAGGACGCGTTACAGGCTTCATTTAAGCCTTTGCCCTTTTTGTTTTTGATATGCAAGCTCACAGAAGGCTGATTTGGGCCTCTTGTTAACTGGGCTTTGCGCATAACCAAACGCTGGATCATTTATTCTGCTGATTCTTGAGGTTAAATTATTTGTTTGCCTAGATTAATCTCAAATCGCGTTAAGCCTTTAGCTAATTAACTAGACTTCTTTAATAATTGGGGTGAACCATATTAGATAACACAAATAGCTTATTCCCCCCTCCCCCAAAGCTTAGTTTGAATTTCCTTTTAAAAATTGGAATTGAGGTGCGCCGTGCCGAACAAAATCTCAATTGCATGGCCCTCGTTTAATTAATCTTGTCTATCCTTAGAAATCGAGGCGTGCCATTTAGCGAATTTTCATGGCCCTCGCAAAGTTGAAAATGCGTAGTTGCTTTAGGCGCGTTATTTTAATAATTTACCTTCCTAAACTCGGGTGCACATTTATGTGACCCAAATCCAAATCTCAACAATGTTATATAAAATGCGTTGCGGACTGCAGGTGCATGTATGTGACGTGGTTCAAGACATATTTTAAATGACGTTGCAATTTTCTTTAAAAAATAAATAAAAGCGGTTAAAGGTTTAAAATTGTACCAGAGGCTAAAACATGTATTAAAATCAGATAATGGGCCAATTATAATCGTTTAAGTGACCGTGCTAGAACCACGAAATCCGGGGTTCCTAACACCTTCCCTCGGGTTAACAGAATTCCTTATTTAGAATTTCTGGTTCGCAGACTTCAAAAGGAAAGTCGCAATTTTCTCGATTTGGGATTTAAAATAAACCGGTGACTTGGGACACCAAATAAACTATCCCAAGTGGCGACTCTGATAAATAAATAATCCCATTTCGGATAATGTCACTTAAAGTGGAAAAACTCCCTTATATACTATCCTTCGGGGTGGTGTGTAAAAAAGGAGGTGTGACAGCTCTGGCGACTCTACTGGGGATAAGAACCCAGAACTTCTGGTTCAGGGTTCAGAATTCGAGCTTAGATGAATTGTTATATTTGGCTTTATTTATTATTTGATTTTATTACATGTGTGGGCCTAATGTGCTAAATGTTGCTTTTACCGCTTTGATATTATCTGAACTGTATATATAAACTGCTACGAAACCCCTCTCTTCTTTCTCCTGAGGAGTGCACGCTGGTCGTGACTTCTTTGTGTTAATGTCATATCCCAAATAGAACGAGGTTCGGACAAGTTGCAAAGCCGGATGATCTTTTAGTTACCGGTACGCAGACCCCCTCGGCTCGAGTTGTCGGCTCGGGTATGCCAGGTCTAGAACAATATACCCAGGTTTTAAACCTAGAATAACTCAGCCTCATGCCAGATCCCTAGTAGGATTGCTTATCTGCATCATGTGCATTTGACTTTGGAGACTCAACACAGGGGTTGGGTCTGTCTAGGACAGGTGTACCAAAAATGAAAAGACCATCCTGATGCATCTTACTTGCTACTTGTGCATTTATTTGCTTCGAATTTGCATGCTGACCTGCTTTTGAATAAAAGGAGAGAGTTTGGAAAAGAAAATAGCAGTGTGAGGGCTAAGGGAGGTAATTACCTGTTTTGAAAACCAATGTCCAAATATATACTGAAACTCTGTCGAAATCTTGTTTTCAAAAATAGTTGGTTTTATTTTGTCAAATATGCCCGAACTACACCAGTTTGATTCTCACCGGATGTGGGATACGTAGGCAACCCCCATCGGGTCCAACTTCCTTTTTTGCAAAAATAGCCCAAAAAGAACAAAAGTTTTATTTTTATTTGAAAATAATTAAGGTGATGCCATTCTTTTCAAAAATAGCCGAATGTCCCCAAAAGGGCGCCGGAAGGTTGCTTTTGCAAGAACAGCCGCCTTTGGTCATTTTTCAAGGTTTTGGCCGGGTAGCCAACACAGCCTTAAAATCTTCGTCCTCGAGGTGCTGAAAGGCCGTATTTGCAAAATCGGGTTTTCATTTTTGATTTGAAGAAAAAAATAGTGTTAACTTTGTTTTTGAGTCAAATGAGTCTTGATTTTTTTTTTTTTTGCTTAATCACCCTAATAAATGTGCAGAATGAGCACGAGTCAAAGTTTGCCAATAACAGTCATGAACAAGATCCCTTTGGAGTTGCATATGTGGTGGGAGGATCTGGGTAAATCAGAGCAAGATAAGGTCAATCTACATTTGGGAGGTCTCACCGGATTGTTGAAGATAAGGCCTAGAGGAGACATCATAAAGGCGTTGGTTACGTTTTGGGACCCAGCTCACAACGTCTTGCATTTCTCGGATTTCGAACTCACACCCACCTTGGAAGAGATAGCAGGTTATATGGGAAGTACTGAAGGTCTGAGGCATAAGTATCTGATCGCTCCAAGAGCCGTTAACTCTCACAAGTTCATGGATTTGCTAAAGATAAGCAAGAGTCTCGTACTCCAAGTTGGAGGACGGTTTTTCCACTCTACGGTTTATATACCAGAGATACGGGCATGTAGGAGGATTCAACAACCCGGAAAGCGGGGTTTGTAGCAAAGGGAACCGAGCAAAATGGGATGAGCATAGGCGTTTCGCTTTCATGGTAGCTTTCTTAGGCCTCGTGATGTTTCCCCGGAAAGATGGGAATATCGATCTGCGGGTGGCTGGAGTCGTCAAAGTCTTGATTACCAATGCCAAGAGCACCCTTGCTCCTATGATAGTATCTGAGATATACCGAGCTCTCACATCTTGTAAAGTTGGGGCAGATTTCTTCGAGGGATGCAATTTGCTACTACAAATGTGGATGATCGAACACCTGTGTCACCGCCCTCAGTATATGAGTTATGGGTCCGCAGAGAAAAGTTGCATTGAAGAGTTCAACACAAGGATGTCAAGGTTCAAGTTACCAGAGGGGTTTGGAGATTGGGTATCCCGCCTTCGCTCCATCACTGCGAGGCAAATAGAATGGACATTAGGTTGGCTTCCTGTTGAAGAAATTGTGTATATGCCCGCCACTGGTCCTTACTTCCTCCTAATGGGTCTTCGAGGCATTCAGCCTTACGCTCCATACTGGGTAATGAGACAGTTGGGAAGGTGTCAGGTGATGCACCCAGATGAATATCTTAGTGTTTATGCGGTCGAGGTTAGCTCCGACGGCCAATTTCATGAAGAAACAGTTCGTTCTATTTGGAACGAGTGCCAGTATTTGACAGCAACCACTCGAGTGCGTGACCTATCTAGAGGCGAGGTCTCACCCGCCTATCTTGCCTGGTATAGAAAGAAGAACACTGCAAGGGCCGAACCAGAAAGACCAGCCAAAAAGCCTCACATTCAGGAATTCGTTGAGGCGTCGCAAGAACAGTGGGCTTGGTTGGCCAAGGAGAATGAGTACAGGGCCACCATAAGCAGGCTAGAAAAGCAAGTCAAAGACCTTCAATCCGAGAATAGTTTGCAAGCCACGGCGGATGAGGGTGAAAAGAAAAAGCTAGCCAAAGAAAATGAGGCCCTTCGAGCCCAGATTCAAAAAATGAAAACAGCAGCCGAAAATCCCGCCAGAAGTACAAAGGATGAAAAGTCTATAAAGAACCTTAGGTAGAAGGTAGATGAGTATGGTTTTGATTTGAACAAAGCAGAGGGTGAACTAGCCAGGGCTCGAAAAAAATTGGCTAAGAATGCGGAAGAATGAGCGCGCCTGTTTAAACAGTTAAAAGAGAAATACGACGATGAGGTCGCGGGGTTGAAGAAAAGGGTCATCACCGTTGAGAACAAAATGACCAAGCAGGCCAAGGACTTTAAAGCTGATAGAGAACATTACTATGCTTTGATGGCTCAGATGGAGGAAGAAATGCAACAGTTGCAAAATCAAAACCATCACGACACTCAGGTGTTAGAAGCCAGGAATCAGCAGGTCGGGCGTCTGCTTCAGGAAAAGGGTATAATTCGAGAGAGGGTTAGAGCCATTGCCGATTACATTGTCACGAAATGCCAAGCATGTGAGGATATGACTCGAACCACTTTCTTCGTTGTAGTGATGACATTCGTCCGCCAGATAATGAGTGATTTGGAGCGGCTGTAAGGGGATCTCGCGCATAGGCCCGTGGCGAGACCGAATGATGTCCCACGGGCCCCAGGAGCATTTGAGGCATTGATGTATTCATGATTTTAGTCGAGTCTGTATTTCTTTTTGGAGTCTTTAGTCTATTTTCGAGTCTGTGTTTTCATCTTTCTGTTGGAGTCTTTTAGTTTCCCTTTCGAGTCTGTTAGGATGAGTCATTGTAATCAAAGCAATTCCTTTTTATGAAAATTTGAAAATCCCAAAAAATGTTTTATTATTTACACTTATCTTCCAGAACTACGCTCGGTCTGATTCATGCGGGGTCATGATACGTAGGCAATCTCCATAGGATTCAACCATAACAAAAAAAAACAAAAAAAAAGAAAGAGGAGAAAGAAAAGAGAGCCGAAGAAAAATCAAAACAAAAATGAGAAAAGGAGAGCAAGAAAAGAAATGAAAAGGAAAGAGTGGAAGTTTGAAAGCAAAAACAAAAAAAGAAGAAGAATTGGGAAGAATAAGTAAAGCCGGGATGAAACATGCAACCGTTGCAAACATGTAGAAACACATTTAACTGTATAGGTGCATCACACCCCCAACGTGCGATTACCTATGTGTTATTTGTTTCAAACTAATCGTTTTGTTGTTGTGATTCCAGTCCAGGTTTTATTTTTAGGTGGTTGGTTTTTGTGGTAATCTGGCTTCGCACCCATACTTTACGAGGTCGAAAGGAAGCATTGAAATGTCTTCAGAAGTGACTCTGCCAACAATTCCCATCATGGAGGATAGTCCGATCTCGAGTATCCCAACTTCAGAATCGGCAGATGCCGAAGAAAACAGAATCCTGCGTCTCCGTGTCATGGAACTGTGGGATGCTTGGGCAAATGGAAGAGAGCCACCAAGCGCAATCCCGGGATTCCCCGAACTCTTTCCTAGAGCAAGCGGTACCTCCAATGTCCCGATCAGTCACCCAAATACACCACTAGGACACCCAACTATCTCAGCTCATTTTGTGGGAACACCTTCTGAGGTTCGCCCCCAGGTGTTAATGTTCGGTGCAGCTTCAAATATCTTCACTGCTCCACCTTGCTCGGCTGCGGCACAGCCTACACTGCCCAGGCCCAGTTTTGACCCATCAGCTTTCACCTTCCAAACACCCTCCTTCCTAATGGAACCTACTCAATTTCCCACTTATACTTACTCCCAACCACCCCGGTATGAGTTCACTGCGGGGCAAGAAAAGACCACCAAAACTCCTAAGCAAGAAGAGATTGCGAGAAAGATGAGGAGTATTGAACAGAGTCTTAAAAGCATACAAGGCTTGAGTGGACAGAAAAGTGTATCTTATGCCGACTTATGTATGTTCCCCCATGTGCATCTACCATTAGGATTTAAAACCCCAAAATTTGAGAAGTATGATGGGCACGGTGACCCCATTGCTCACCTCAAGAGATATTGCAACCAGCTGCGAGGAGCCGGTGGACAGGAAGAACTCCTCATGGCCTACTTCTGGGAAAGTTTGGTTGGCATCCCGCTGGCATAGCTGGGATGATCTTGCTCGAGATTTTGTCAGGCAGTTCCAGTACAACATTGATATTGCTCCGGATAGGAACTCATTGACAAACTTAAAGAAGAAATCCTCGGAAAGTTTCCGAGAATATGCTGTCAAATGGCGTGAGCAGGCCTCCAGGGTAAAGCCTCCAATGGATGAAATTGAAATGGTCACGGTCTTTCTGCCGGCCCAAGAGGCCGACTACTTCCAGAACATGATATCTGCTGTGGGTAAGCCATTTGCTGAGGCTATCAAAATCGGGGAAATGGTTGAGAACGGTTTAAAAACAGGTCGAATCTTGAGTCATGCTGCTTTTAAGGCCACATCACAGTCTGCTCAGAATGGTTCGAAGAGTTTGATAAACAGAAATGGGAATGAAGAGGGAGTCATGATGGTTTCAAGCTCGAGGGGGCCCGCAGGTCATTCGGCCAATCATATGTGCCTCCTATCGTCACACCAAACTATTATCCCCTTCAAGATGCTTCTTATGTCGTGGCACTGCCTCCCCATGCGGTGATGAACACGCAACCTTACCCGCGGCCACAATATTATACACAAAACCGAGCTCCACTTCCCAGAAATGCCCATCCTTACCAAGCTCCATATAATCCTCAACCAAATGATCCCCAATACAATCCTCGCCCAAAAGAGCCATTCAGAAAGAATCAGTTCACCCCTATTGGTGAATCATATTCAAGCGTGTTCCAAAAGCTAATTAGGCTAAATCTATTGCAGCCAGTGGCCCCGAACCGGCCGAACCCCGAGTCCCCCTCGCACCGAGCTGATGCTATATGTGAATACCACTCTGGAGCAGTGGGACACAGTACAGAGGACTGTTGGACCCTCAAAAGGGCAGTCGAGGATTTGATTGAAGCTGAAAGAATCATTTTTCGAGATGAAGATGCTCCTGATGTGATGAACAATCTGTTGCCTGCACACAACATCGGGCCAATAGTCGGGATGATTTGTGAAGATGAGTAATGTGATCCGGCACTGAAGGCCATTGCATCCATGACCGAAACTGAAGAAAAGCCAATAAACGGTCGCCAAGCCTGATAGTTCCCCATCAGATGGGAGTCTCGGTAGCCAATCTTGCTGTCCTTTCTGCGTTCGGATTATCTCAGGGTGTGATCCGGATGTTTTACTTTATTGTCTTACTTTCCGATGTAAACCCTTCTATCTTCAAAATTGAAAAAGAAAAATCAAAAAATCAAATGAAATTAATATTTCATTGTCCAGGAATGTCTCTTTTCTTAATCTTGTCATTTTTCTTATTCTCTTTTCAGTTCTGTTAAATGCAGATTTCAATAACATGACATGCTTGCGGACTTCATGCCCAGATCCCAAAACGCTGTCAGACTTCGAAATAATGAATCAAGAGTCAAAATGCAAAGAAGATTATGTTTAAAGGAAATAAAACAAAGAGTTGGAACAGTTGAAGGAAAATTGGCTCCAGATTGGAAAGGTCCATACATTACAACAAGACTAATGTCAAAAGAGTGCGTTGTATTTGGGATACATCAAAGGAAATGTCCCTAAAACAACTGTCAATGCAAATGCAGTCAAAAGGTACTCTGTTGGATCCTCTATATATCGTTAGTGTTCTCCGATTGGGATGAAGAAGGCTTCCTTTCTCACTATCCAAACACTATCAACCCGTTGCAAACCCTTTGAGCCGGTTACTTTCTTCGATTACCCTCTTTGGAACCTGAAAGTGTTAATACAAAAAAAATGAAAAAAATGAAAAAAAAACAAGAGAAGAAAGAAAAAGAAAAAATACAAAAAAAAAGGGAAAGAAAAAAACAAAGAAAAATGAAAAAAAAAAGAACGAAAAAAAAAGAAAAA